GAGAATTATTTCCATCTTTGTGGGGAGAGGAGGCATGATAATGAAGTCTGTCCTCCACTCTGTAATCTGTGAAGTGATAAAAACTATACTGGCTTTATTTTACTGGGAAGATTACAGGATGAATGAATGAAAGTGAAAAATATGCGATTACCACCCTGTATCCCCAGTCATGGGGTAATCAGTCATAGATCTCTCTTTGCCTACTCTCAGCCCAGCCCACAAACAAGTTCTACCACTCTCTTTGAAAATCTTTTTCTCCATAATCATAAAGCTATTCAGGTCTTCCCTCTCTCACAGGTAGACTATTGTCCTAACTGTAGCTCCTCCCCATTTTTACCTGCCCTGACAAAAAGCTTCTGGTATAATCTTTATTAACCACTTTGTTTAAAGCTCTTCAGTCTGGTCTTCAGAGGCTGTAGCTTGCTGCTCCCTACTGCCTGCCAATTTCAACTCACACGGGCAGCTTTCAAAGCTTTCCCACTGACTGGCACCTGCTTCCCAAGGTTATCTCTCATTTCATCCCTACTTTTATCCAAGAAGCAAATGTACTACTTTTATTGTTGTTTGTACACTCACACCTCTGCTTTTGATTATTTCGTCACGATATTTTGAAGATAGCGGCCAACATAGTCTCACCCCTCAAAGTTCGCATGAGCTGGTATAGGACAAATACGATTGTCTCTAAAACTGTGTAGCAAATGCAATAACAGAATTGTAAATAAGTTCTAGGGTGGTAAAAAGAGGAATAACTACTGAGACAAATTTACAGTGTTATTGTGTTCATATAACAAGGAGCTATTGTGGTTTGTAATTTCCATGGGAGTAAGGAGCTTTCTTTTGATTATGTAGGTTGGATAAATTGACATGGAACACACCCTCAGATTCTTCTGAAGTAAGGAGTTGTCCCGGAAATTTCATTATACATACAGCTGATGGTAGAAGTAGATTTGGTTGGTTAAGTCTGTGGTCTCTGACCCCCAGGGCTGCAGACTGGTACCGGTCTGTGGCCTGTTAGGGACCCGGCCACACAGCAGGAGGTGAGTGGTGGGTGAGCGAGGGAAGCTTCATCTGTATTTACAGCCGCTCCCCATTGCTCACATCACGGCCTGAGCTCCACCTCCCTCCTACCCCCATCCATGAAAAAACTGTCTTCCATGAAACCAGTCCCTGGTGCCAAAAAGGTTAAGTGCAAAACCACCATCATGCTATGGTTGAAACTACACTGGAGTAGGGAGTAAGAAAACCCGGGCATTAGTCCTGACTTGCCTCTAATAAGCCAAGTGACTTAGAACAAGCCATTTCACTTCACTGGTGTCATCCATTTCCTCTCTAAAATGAATAGGTTGGGCCAGGTGTCCCTAACTTCTTATTCTGCTCCTACAATCTGTAATTCTCCATGTCAGCACCCTTCATTGCTTCAACAGACACACACTAGAACCTTCAGTGTGCATGCCACTGGATCTGCTGATTTGTCTGCGTCACAGACATTCGAATCTCATCATTGCTAAACTGGGGCTGGATGCCTGCACAGCTAGAATCAACAAACATGCTAGCCACACTGTGATTCCCTTTCCCGCTTCTTTAACCTTGGAGACACCGGCATAGAAAGCCAGAACCTGGAGCTCTTTGAGCGTTCTCCCGATCACAGGCGATCACACAGGCGAGCGGGAATCCACACCATGCTTGGCGTGTTTGTTGATAGTGAGATCTGGAGTGGCTGAGTGAAGACAGAGACTGAACTAACCTGGCATCTGAGAGCTTAAAAGCATCCATTAGTAAATGTGCAAGAATTTGACCTTCCAGCTGCCTCCGTGTTGTGTTTTGGGTTCCTATAATGAGAGTTAAAAAGCAAAAAGAGAAGCTCTATTATTTCACACTTGGTAGTGATTATTCTACCAAAACAATAAGGGACGTGAACTAAGAGGTGCCCGTGAGTATAATTTTGAGAGGCTTACACACTAGTGACTAAACCGACAAGGATACGGTCTAAAGATCACGTTCCATGTGTATCCTCAGCACACATTCCCATAGTAATCATATTAATCAGCTTTGGAAGAACCAACTTCCAATGAGAGAGGAGCACAAAAGCATTTAGTGCTGTACTTATTAGGCTACTCATTGACAGATATTCATATTGCACTTTTTAATTAAGTGACAAAGCAGCTTTGCATATGTGGTAGTTGGTGCTAATGAAAATTTACATGAGGAAACAAAGGAAATCAAATAGATGCTAAGATTATCAGTTTGCATTTTTTCTTTCTATTTGTGGTAATAAAAAAGTGTAAATTGAAAATCTAAAGAAAAAGCACAGTTAACTTACTTTTAAATGTGAAATACACTAAGTCACGTTCCTAAATACAAAAAGCTGCCTTAACGTTTCATTTTGACAATTTGTAACAATGACAGAGAAACATATTTGTCTGTATAATTCTCTAGGATTGTGATGAATGGGCTATAATATGTTTAACAATTAATGCTGGTTTTGCTTATTTTTTAATACAACTAAATTCATATTGTATAAAGGAAATGATGACAATGCTTACAGTTTTTTATGTGCCATTATAGATATAGATATGAAAATAAGAGATAACACCAGGGAAGAGAGAAAGTACTATGCACTTTATCATTACTTCACAACTTGCAGTTTTTTAGACATGGTTTATGTTTGGCAAAGTTCGCTAGATTTGCTGCAGTAAATTAACTGTTCTCAAAATCCCATGTACCTGAATAATTGCCTCTTGAACTTAATTATTCTTCTGTGTTTCTATCCCTTGTTTTCCTTCTTAGATATATTAATATAATTCATGTGATAGCAAAGGGAGTCTTTCTGTAAAAAACATTTACTCTTGAATGCCATTTGAAAACTTTTACAAAAAGCTATATTTGATAATATATGTAACAGTCCTAAACTTACCATTGTTGTAAACAACAGCAATAACAAAAATTTGTGAACTCTGTGAAACTGTTTCTGATTTATTCTCTTTTATCAAGAACTTCCTAGGAGTTTATAGCTATGATAGTATTCAAAATTAAAATGTGTCAGCAGTTGCAAATTATATGTGTATACATTAATATTTCTTATGTCTTCCAAACAGTATATCATTCTCTAAAGAATATCTCATTTTTTATTCCCAGTTTTCACTTGTAACCCTAATTAACCAGACCAGTATTTCATATTTAACAAATATTCAATCAATATTTAGAATAATCATGTTAACCAAATCATACTAGAGCTGGTATATCTTAGACTATATTCACTATTTAAGAAAACGTGTATATCATAAATATACACGTATAATTTTTGTCAACTAAAAAAAGAAAATATCTTTAAATAGTTGCTTTATTCTTCCTTCTATATTACTTTGAATTCAATAAACTATTTTGCAGAAAATAAACAACTAAAAAATAAAATAGCATCATTGATATCCAAATAATATCAATAAATATGATTCATTATTTTAAAAAGTTCAAAAAAGTTCCTTTTTTCTCTAAAGGAAAAGAAAGGGGAGTAGAGCTTCGGACCATTGACTGATTATTTCTATGTCAGCTTTCTGAAACCCTTGTTAATTTGGCTACTTTCTACTGCTACTGCATCATAAATTATAGATATCACATATACAAACGTGTGAGAAAAGAATTGATTTGCCATCAATGATTTGTCAGTTTTATAAAAGTGTGTGAGCTCTTTTGAGTAACGACCATTATGGGACACAATGCTTTGCCTTTATGAAATTCAGCATCTATTTGGTGTGACGCTATGCATTCATAATAATGAAGCTCCTATCTGTTTATCTGGATAGCTAACTTATATACCAAATATTTAAATGGTCAAGCAATTTATTGGAAGGATATATAAGTAGAATGTATGGTTTGATGTAAACACAAATGGTGAAGGGCTACTGAACACATCATCAGAGTATGGTATGACTTACTGTGGCAGTCAGTTTTAAAACACATTTTGAGACATATGATAATAAACAAGAATAAGGAAGAATCCTCCACTAGATTTTACTTTATTCTTCTTTGCATGCCCTAGAGCAAGTTGCCTTACTTTTACATGTAACAGATGCTCAATAAACATGCGTTGGATGATTTTATGACTGTATAGACACAGACTGGTGTGTAACATTATTTATGGAATAAAGAGAAATAAATGGTCTTGAGGAGAAGGAGAGAGGATGGTAAAAAGTCTGTTTCATGGTGATTTCTCATTAACAATGATGCTACTTTCTCTACCCACTGCTTAGCGGAGGACCATCTGATCTGCTCTCTGTAGCCAGCTTATTCATTGTGCGGGTCGATGTAATCTGATGCATAAAGAATCAAGAAAATGGGAGGCAGCATTTTCCTAGATAACTGCTAAGAGGCAGATAGTTTACATTTGATGCATCCAGGCTAAGTGGCCCCACACGAAGTTGAATTATTAGTAAAAGCAATTCTAAAACTGACAATTCTCTCTTTTATCAGTAGGTCTATGTCTCATCTTTGTGAAAGATCAGTTAGATTTAAAGAAAAGTGAAGATATATTAAGAGAAACTAAATCTATAGGAGCAGAAGGTAAAAATTGCTTCTCCTTTCTTATATACACTGTGTTGTACATATGCATACTAGGGTCTAGTTATAAGGTCTTAGATTACGGTGGCTCTTGTTTTTTCTTTCTCTAGGTATCCAATGTCTAACCATTTTACTGCTAGTTAGTGCTCACACTATATGAAAGTCAAAATGATGAGCTTGGAGAAGACACCAACAATAAAACAACACCTTCAGTGCAAAATTTCCAAACTGACCACACAAACAAAAACCCAGAAAAACAAGCAAAAACTGCAAACAATCTATAAAACAAATAAAAGTATTGTTGAGGAAAAGAATGAAACTATTGGATAACAGAGTACTTTCTGTTAAATACCAGTTTTAACATACCCAGCAAAGTGCCTGACACAAATTAGACACAAATTGCTCGTTTCTTCCCTTCCATTCCGGGAAAGAATGTTAAATGTTACCTGCCAGAGAGGGTCTTTCTGCTCAGGGAAGAGCTCGAAGTACTTGTGGGCCAGCTGCACCGGAGGCAAAGTTTGCAATTTTAGGTTGGTCCAGCTCTGCACAAAGTTGGCCAGGTTCGCAAAGGTATATAAACCCAGGCGGTCATTCCCATAGTTTGATAAATGGGTCATGAAAATGCTGATCTGAAAGATAAATAAAAATAACCACAAAATACCATGTGCTTAAGCTCAAAAGTAGCCGTACCAACTCCAGGTAGCACCTCACCTAGCCTTGGAATTTCATGAGAAGTACAATTATCTTTTTTGGTGGAAAGCCACGCATTTAATTTCCATATCAAAATAACATTTAACTTCACTCAAAATTGAAATTAAGATTGGCATTCCATCACTGTACATGAAAAGTATAACATTATTTTTCATATTGTTTTTTTGCCTATTGTGGAAACAATATTATCAAACCCAAAATCTATTAACTTCCAGACTAATGAAGAACGAATATTCGACCAGTTCTAAAATTAAACAATTGTTACAGATGTTTTCTGGTTTAGACATGTATATAAATTGAAATGCAATCAGACTCGAGAAAACTTGTTTCTTTGTGGTATAATGAAGAATTCTTATCGCAATAAACTGTTAATGTTTGCACAGAAACTGATTGAATTTAGCCAAAAACTCTTTCGTACTCATTAATCCTTTTACATTTTTCACACCTCAATATTAACTCTAAAAATATCATGGCATTTCGGTCTTGTTCTTTTGTGAATCAGAGATTAAGGAAAAGTGAAATTAGACTGATTGCTCTTGAAAGAGCAATGAAAAATTTGAATATGATTACAGACATAATCTTTATTGTCCATAAGGTATCGCAGAAATTTAAAAAATACTAAAGAGAAATTGCATAATCTTGATCTAAATTTCAGAGATTTATGTAACTCATAAAAAGATCATTTTGTGCCCAAACCAATATTTTGTACTTGTTCTTCAATCTCACATTATTTTCAAATATAAGAATTATTAAAAATTCTTTTTACTATTAGTATATTGATTTATAAATCTTTCAAAACAATTCAAATATTATAATGAAGTACCTTTTACATTTTATTAGAAAAGTAAAAGTAATATAATGTTATAAAAAATAACATTAGAATAAATACAGCATCTGAAATTGAACAGCAAAATAATATAGAAAAAAAGTCAAGTTTTTCATGGGTAAACTTTTATATGGATGATCACTGACTCATTCTGAAGGTTTATATTTCTTGATATAGTTTTTTGGGTTATGTGGAAATAAAGATGAGTTTGCAATAGCCATTCTAATATCATTTTCGTTACAACTTGGTTACATATTAGCCATGCAGTAAAGGCTCTACTGCAGACCTGATATTCCCAAGAGCTAATATGTCTTTGGATAACTGTAAATACCCCCAAAAGAAGTCTTATATCTTAAAAATGATAGAGGCATTACCTTGTACAAGAATTTAAAAAAATACTCTGGCAAGGCATTACAAGTCAAAGACATCAGGTTCATTGTTGGAATCCTCTTTCTACTTTGGAAAAGACATTTTCTATTTTGTGTCATAATAGAATACTGAAAAAGACTCTCTAAGGAAAACCTATTTAATTATGTATTTATTTTTTTGACCGATTCCCAGGAATTTATTTATTTATTATTTATTTATTTATTTATTTATTTACAGCATATTACAGGAGTACAAATGTTTAGGTTACATATATTGCCTTTGCCCCACCCAAGTCAGAGCTTCAAATGTGTCCATCCCCCAGACGGTGCACACCACACCATTAGTGTGAATATACCCATCCCCTCTTTCCTCCTCCCTCCTGCCCAACACACAATGAATGTTACTACTGTATGTGCGCATAAGTGTTGATCAGTTAATACCAATTTGATGGTGAGTACATGTGGTGCTTGTTTTTCCATTCTTGTGATACCTCACTTAATAGAATGGGCTCCAGCTCTATCCAGGACAATGCAAGAGGTGCTAGATCACCATTGTTTTTTGTAGCTGAGTAGAACTCCAGGGTGTACATACACATTTTCTTAATCCACTTATGTATGGATGGGCACTTGGGTTGTTTCCACATCTTTGCAATTGTGAATTGTGCTGCTATAAACCCTCAAATGCAGATGTCTTTTTTATAGAATGTCTTTTTTTCCTTTGTGTAGCCCTATTGAGATGATCAGAGTTATTCCATACCATGTTTAAAGGTAGAGAAGAGAACGCAGCCTTAATGTTCCTAAATTACATGAAGTAATATCTAAACTTTACATAGCACTTACTATACAATAGTCAGGGTTCTAAGTCCTTTACATACATGAAAGAGCTAAATCTTCACAGTGCTCTTCCAGGTAAGTACTGTTAGCGTTACTTTTTTTTTTAGCAGACGAAAAAACTGTGGAACAGAGCAGTCAAGTAACTTGTCCGAGTTCCACAGCTAGTCAGTGACACAGCACTAATGCAAACCCAGGCAGTCAGAGTCCCATTTCCAACACATGATATAGCTGAAACCTTTGTCGAAACATTTTTATATATATTGAGTTTGACATCCATCATTTTTTTCCTTTTGCATTAAAATAGAAAAAGACAAAGAACATATTTCTATAGAAGATGGTGGGGAAAAAACTATGTAAGTATTATCTTGGTACCTTAAAGTTTTTTTTCTTTCAAATTGGAATGGCAAAAGACAAAATATTTTTGTAATTTTAAATGAAAACTTTTAAGAAAATGAATTATAGTATTGCAAAAGAATATTAATGATAGAATGCAAATTTATCTTAGAAGATAATATCCTTCCTGTCATATTTCTAGTCCTTTTTTTTCACTTTGGGGTGTATGCAAATCTTTTTATTCTAAAGGCCAAAAAAAAGAAAGGCTATTTTAAAAAAATATTCTTTATCTAGCTTGTTTAGGTAGAAATTTAAATTAAATTCCTAAATGTTAGTTGATATAATGGTCTTATCTGAGACACATGTGGAATCATTGGACAAATTGGACAAATTTGGACAAATTCAGGTGACCATACGTCATTGGTCAAATATTACAGTGGCCAATCTCTCACTCAAGTTCTTTATCTCAAATAGGAAGTGCCCTCTTGTCAGGACTTAATTACAGAGTTTCTAGAACATAACATGATATTAGTAGTCGATGACCATATAATTGTAATTGTTGCCCTTCTTTATAATCACCACAAAATAATATGCCTTTGATCTCAATAAGTATACATTTATCTCACATCACTACTGTAATTAAGAAATAAGGCAGTGTAAGCACTGTGCTTCAGGGTAATTATAGTTTCCCAGGACTGAAATGATTATGAAAAATCAGGCTGTAGGCTGAGGACCTGAAGAATATAACAATGTCCTAGAAATCTACCACCTGCCCTCTAGTGCTGTTATTTTAGGGTGGAATTTTAAGGCACCTGAGAGTTTCAAAAGACTGACAAAATTATGAGTAAAAAGTATTTCCTTAAGAGTATTGTAAAGATTATTTTTATATCATGAGCGAATGTATATTATCATTTTATTAAGGTATTAACATATGTTTTTAAAAGATTTTTGCAGCAGAGTAATTCTAAGTCATTTTTCCAGAATTTCCTTAGGAGGATAAGCCTTGTTTTGTGAAAAAAGTATGAAACTGAAAGCAGGACAAATGGAGAATCTGTCTCTGGAAGAAAGCGGTGCGGAGATGTGCGGTTCTAAGCGGAGGCATGTTGCTGCATTTCGAGTTTCTTGGACTGAGAATAAAAACACGCACCCCGGCCGTGCTGGTTGCAGTCACTGCTGCATGGGGGGGCATGTGCACATGCCTTGTGGTCGGAAACAAATTAGTGCTGGTATATGGTCAATTGACTGCACTTTAAGGCAAACAATTCCGCAAGCACAGCTTAACTGCATATCTGGCTTGCTAAATGCACCTATTGTGCAGACAGAGCATTTTATTTTTACTATTTTTGGACAAATGGCTCATTTAAAAAAACAAAACCAAACCTATCTCAGAGAGACAAATTAAGAATGGACATGGTTGAAGCAGAAATGAGGGGATTCAAAGTATATGCGGTATGAGAGAGTAGTAAGTTATTTTTCATACTTACAACATATTGCTACTATTTTTTACATGACAGTATATGATCCTCTGTTTATCCTGTCCTTTTATTTATTTACTTGGATTGTTATTTTCTTGGTGTCTACTAAGAATAGTCTTGCTCAGTACCATAGTCCCCGAAGTACCACCTGGGGACAGTATGACTGCTGCATGGGTGGAAATTGTTTGTATATATGATTTTCTGTACCTTGAAATATGGTAGCTCAGAGATACGCTTTGATTGAGACAAGCGGAATTTCATCTTTCATATGACAAAGACAGGCAAGGAGATCTTGCTCAATAGATGAGTTGAAGAATAAGATATTCCGTAAATGCTAATATCAGTAGGCCAACTGCAGCAGGCCTTTCCGAGAGGTCACCGAGGTCTGGGTGCCCTTGCATCTGTCGTCAGCACCTGGCTGTCTGTATCTTGTCTACATATGTTCCTCCCTCAACCTTCAAGGCTCTCAGCTCTGTTATCATCAAATATAAAACAAGTCTAAATTCTTTCTTTTATCTGTTGTAAAAATATACAAGCAAGCTTGCAGGCACTCTCATAGTCTAATTATTCATTAGAAATATAAAGTTTTACATTAATCTAATTGCTAAATGCAATATGCACACATGAAACGTGGGAAGGTATTACATATGGAATAAATCCATTTAGTGATGCATCTATAGTCCAAGGAAAAAGGAGGCTTTAAATATAGTACTCTATAAAGCTTGATAATAGGTAATTCGGTCAATATAATTGAACTTTATAGATAACCCTTAACTGTGTGAAGAATCACTGTCACAGTGACAAATGAAACGGTAGGAAATAAATGTAGGCAAGAGGTGGTTCCCCAAATATTTAAAATTACAAGTTATACAATCACTTGTGCTTTATAACATTTTATTTTTGCCTTTCTTATGAAGCTACTAGTATCCAAAATAGAGGACATAGAGAAGAAATAAGGGAAGAACAAAATTAAAATTAGAGGACTTATTTTATCCATAAAATGAAGCATCAATCCTCTCTAGGTTGAGTATATTTTCATTGCCAATGTCAGAATAGTTTCCTTGCTTTTCCTACTTGTATGA